AGTCACATCAAATCTCGTTGTTATGCTCTACATGGACACCCACCGCAACAGAAACAACAGCCTCGTTCCTCTGCACATTCTGTTGCACAACTAGTCTCGTTGTCAACTCCTGACAACTTTGCCTCTACATCTTCTGCCACAGTTACCTTAGACTCAAGTTGATTTGGACAAGTTCAAGCAATTCTTCAACCAAATGGAGGCATCATCTCACCCAACCTCCACTTATGCCCACTCAGGTACTATTGCGTCTGCACATAGCGCATCTACATCTTCGACACCATGGATCATTGATTCTGGTGCTTCAGACAATATGACTGGTATGTCCTCACTTTTCCAATCTTATAGTATCTGCTCTGGCCATCGCAAGGTCCGCTTTGTGGATGGCTCTCCATCTTCCATTGCTAGGAAGGGTCATATATCAGTTACTCCTTGAATAACTTTGTCAGATCCACTTCATGTTCCAAAGTTGACTACAAATCTTATTTCTGTTAGTAGCGTTACCAAACAATTAAATTGGACTGTAACATTCTTTCCCTCTCATTGTATTTTTTAGGATTTGGAGTCAAAACGGACGATTGGCAGTGGCGGTGAAGTGGACGGTTTATACCTGTTGGATGCTCCTTTGTCACCTCAAGCACATTCAGCTTCATTATCTAATATTGTTTCATCTAATAAAGCTCAGCTTATGCGTTGGCACATGCGTTTAGGACATATTTCTTTCTGTTATTTTAAACATTTATTTCCTTCTTTATTTTGTAACGTGGTAGTGTCAGATTTATCCTGTGAGACATGTCATATGGCTAAACATGTTCGTTCCAATTATCCTGGTACTAGTAATAAATCTGCTTTAACACCTTTTGATCTTGTTCATTCAGATGTGTGGGGTCCTTGCCCAATTACTTCTAGTCTTGGATTTCGATATTTCATATTGTTCATTGATGATCATAGTCGTGTTACATGGGTTTATCTTATGAAAACCAAAAAAGAGGTATACACCATTTTTTAAAATTTTATGACAATGGTTCAGACCCAATATGGTTGTACCATTAAAAAATTCAGATCTGACCAGGGTACAGAGTACACTTATGGGGAGGTACAACGGTTATGTACAGAATTTGGGATTGAGCATCAGATGGCTAATGTTAAAACTCCTCAACAGAATGGTCGTTTTGAGAGAAAGAATAGCCACATCCTTGACTTAGCCAGAGCAATCTGCATTGGCATGAATGTTCCCCGGTCATTTTGGGGAGATGCAGTTCTTACAGCTATTTACATCATTAATAGGACTCCTTCTAGGTTCTTAACTTTGTATCCCCACTTTCAATCTTACATCCCAATTCATCACTTTTTTTGATTCCTCCGTGAGTCTTCGGGTGTGTGTGCTTTGTTCAGGGCCAGACTCGTACAAAGCTTGACCCCAAGGCTTTGAAATCTATGTTTTTGGGCTATTCTCACTCTAAAAAAGGTTATAGGTGTTACCATCCTCCTAGTCGTCGGCGGTTTATATCCATGGATGTTTCTTTCTTTGAGTATACACCATACTATAGTGGTTCAATTGGTTCTCAAAGTGAATGGTTCCCATTGAATATAATGGATGATCACCTTCTTCCATTTTCAACTCTTCTACCGTTACCTGTTTCGCTTTCGATGATTCCTCCTTGTGATACCCCTCCAGCAGGGGGAATTGTTCCTTTTTCATAGGTTTATAGTCGGAGACAAAAGGTACAAGCTTCTATTCCCACGATCGACTGCCCTGTTCCTTCTGCACCAGCTCCGCCTTCTCAAGCTATTGTTTCGCTTGATGATCGCCCCATTGCTCTTCGAAAGGGTAAACATTCTTGTACATACCTTATTTCTAATTTTGTTTCTGATTATGCTCTCTCAACCTCCTATCGGAGTTTTCTTGTTTTTGTTGCCTCGGTTCCTCTTCCTTCTAGTGTTGCAGATGCACTAGCACAAGTCACAACCTCAATGGCGTGATGTTGTGACAGAAGAACTACAAGCACTTGAGAAAAATCAGACTTGGGACATGGTTCCGCTTCCTATTGGACGAAAGGCTGTGGGTTGTCGTTGGGTGTTTACAGTTAAGCATAATTCAGATGGGTCAGTTGCTCGTTACAAGGCCCGATTGGTTGCCAAGGGTTATGCTCAGACTTGTGGCATAGATTATCAGGAGACTTTTGCCCCTATTGCCAAGATGAATACCATCCGCGTATTATTTTCCGTTGCTACGATTCGATCTTGGCCTCTATTTCAGTTAGATGTCAAGAATGCCTTTCTTAATAGTGATTTGCAGGAGGAGGTGTACATGGTTCCTCCTCCGGGCTTTCGTTCTTCTGCTCATTCTGGCATGGTATGTCGTTTTCGTCGTTCTCTGTATGGCCTCAAGCAATCTCCTCGAGCTTAGTCTAATCGCTTTGGCACTGCCATGCATAAGTTTGGTTTCCATCAAAGTGCAGCTGATCATACCTTGTTTTTACGTCATTCAAGCGGTAAGACAGTTGCTCTCATTGTGTATGTCGATGATATTGTTCTTACCGGCGATGATACTACCGGAATTGATGAGGTTAAGAGTTATCTTGGCCGTCAGTTTGAGATTATGGATCTTGGTCCCTTACAGTACTTCTTAGGCATTGAGGTGGCTCGCTCCAAGGCTGGCATTTTCATCTCTCAATGCTAGTATGTTCTTGACTTGTTTTCTGCTTCTGGTCAGCTTAGCGCTCGTCCTGCTGATACTCCGATTAAGCAGAATCATCGGTTGGCTGATTCTGAGGGGGAGTTGTTGTCAGATGTTGGTCAGTATCAACGACTTGTGGGGAAGCTCATCTATTTATCCATGACTCGATCTAACGTTGCTTATGTCGTGAGTGTTGTGAGTCAATTCATGCACTCTCCTCGTGCCCCTCACTTTGATGCAGCTATTCGGATCCTTCGCTACTTAAAAGGGCGTCCAAGCCGTGGTATTTTGTTTGCCAATCATGGTCACTTACGTGTTGAGGCTTGGACATATGCTGATTATGTAGGATCAATTTCAAATAGGAGGTCAACTTCGGGTTATTGTACTACTATTGGTGGTAACTTGGTTACTTGGCGCAGTAAGAAGCAGAATGTTGTTTCTCGATCTAGTACAGAGGTAGAGTATAGGGTTATGGCTCTTGGGGTAGGTGAGTTGCTATGGTTGAAAACCTTGATGACAGACTTGTGTCTTCTATTGTCGCTTCCATTCTCACTCTACTGCGACACAAGTCTGCTATTAGCATAGCAGCAAATCTCATTCAGCAATATAGGACTAAGCATATAGAGGTAGACCGTCACTTGATTCGAGAGAAGATCATCTCTGGTCAAATTTGCACTCCATTTGTCACAAGCTCTCAGCAGCTTGCATACTGTTAGCATATATGATACCACGATTTACGGTATGACTTACCATAATAGCAGAGATTTGACTATGCTATAGAATATGCTTTAGAATAAGTTGTGATTTGATTTTGATTTGATTTAGTTTCCTTTCTTGTAATATGAGCATGTGCTCATTTTATCTATAAATACTAAAGCCGTGAATGGGTAATTCATATCATTCAAGCCTTTACGCAATTCTCTCCTTTCTCTTCTTTTTATATATTTCTACTTGGTATCAGAGCCAACACCTTTCCACACCTTTCAGCAGCCTTGCTACTCGTGCGACAGCTACCTTAGGCTGTTTGTGACATCGTGTGATGTTGCCTACACATGTTTTTCTGTGTTACTGTTTTGTGATCGAAAACAGGTATTTTTAAGTTTTACAATTTCTTTTTCACTTTTCTAGGGTTGGGTAAATTGGGATAGTTGGTTTCCAACACCTAGAAGGGTTTTGGTAAAAAAAAAAAATTAGTCTACAAAGAGGTTTCAGATATTAAGAAGGAGGCTGTTTGGCTATATATAAGCGGGCAGCGCTCCTTAAAAAAAGATATTTATTTGAATTTTTCAAGAATAGTCTGAGGAGACATTGTTATTGTTAATGGTCTAAGGAGACCTTTTGATTTATTAACAGAATCTGTAGTGTTTTTGGAGTTTTTATTGTCGTGTGACAGATTATGGCAGATCCAGGGTCCTCGATTATTAATTCTCTTGGTTCACGTTCTGTGGGTGGTGGTGCCATTTTTCCTACCAACTCATTAGAAAATCCAGGACTTCAAATCACCATAGTGAACATAGTTGTTAAAGGCTCAAGGCGCACAAAAGCGCAAATGCCTCCTGGAGCCTGAGGCGCAAGGCGCAAGGCGAGGCGCGCGCCCGACTGAAGCAAGGCGCACGTTGGAAAAAAAAAAAAAAAAAACCCACCCAATAAAGTATTAAAGATGCAAATCATGCAATAGTATATAGAAAGATGTAAAAGTCAACTTAATGAATTACTTAAGTTAAATATTCAACATAAAGATGCCAAAACCAAGTAAATCAAGTACTTGAGTTCAAAACAGTGAATAATCAAACATATTAACATAAAGATGCAAAAGTCAACTAAGGAGAAGTATAAGATAAAACTAAAACAAACATAAACATCATTCTTCCTAAGAAGACAACACCAATGAATCTAAATATCATCCTCGTCATCAATAAGCATAACATCATTTTGATCGTCACTAAATGATTCATAATTCTCAGGATCCTCTTCTATCTCATCTGAATCATCCTCATCCTCATCCACAAGTCGAACTGAAGAACTTCCTGCTCCCTTTGTTGGTAATTGTGAACTAGAACTAGATTTTGATCTAGTAGACCGTTGCGGCCTGCTTGCCTCTCCAATACCAGTAAAATTAGCAACATCACCCCATGTCAAGGAATCATCTTCATAGACTAGATCATGTTCTGCATCAGAATCATCCATCCTCCCCGTCAACCACTCGTTGCTCTCATCAATGTCATTGAGTAAAATGGGATCAAGAGTGTCACGCATATTATATCGACGCCTCAATGCTCTATTATATTTGATGAACACTAAATCATTCAACGTTGTTTGAGGGAGCCTATTTCTTTTCTTGTTATGAAGCTGCAATAAATTCAACTTTAACTAGTAAGTATAAAAAATTAAAATTTTAATTTTCAACAATTAAATTACAAACCTAGTTAGTAAATAGTATATACTTACATGCTCAAACACGCTCCAATTTCGTTCACAACCAGAAGAACTGCAAGTAAAGCTTAAAACCTTTATAGCAAACTTTTGGAGAAGTTTTGTTGACTTGCCATAAGCTTCCCACCAATTAGCTATTAAAAAAAAATTAATAATGATGTTTAGCAAATTTAGCTTCATCTTTCTATCGACTCTATTGTCAAAATAATTTTAACACTTAGCTATACTAACTTAATATACTTTACCACTTTACCTGGTCCTCGTGTACTTCTCTGTCTAATAGCAAAGGGATTACCAAAGAGGCCCTCAGCTTTAGAATATAAGGACAGTTCCTCAGTAATTTTGTCTTGGTCTTTGACATCGGGGACTAACCTTGCAATGCATGCATACAAACCCTTTGCAATCTCTTCATCTTCTTCAATTTTCGAATTTGAATAAAAGTATTCTGGGTTCAAATAATAACCTGCTGCATGCAAAGGGCGATGAAGTTGAACATTCCACCTCTTATCAATTATTTCAAAAATATCTGAGTATTTATCTTCTACTCCCCCAAATGATTTTGCAATGGCTTTTTTAGTCCTATCCATAGCCGCATAAATGTATCCCATGGGAGGCTTTCTCTCGCCATCAACTAATCTCAAAACCGGAATAAGAGGACCGGAAACCTTAAGGCTAAAGACAATGTTGTTCCAAAAGGAAGGCATCAAAACATAAGAAGCAACTCTTTTACCGGCTTCCTCTTTCGCCCATTTACTACGATTCCATTCTTCTGAAGTAAACATCTTTCTCAAGTTATTCTTTTGCTTGTGAATACTTGATAATGTGATGAAACATGTAGCAAATCGAGTCTTAGCAGGCCTAAGCAACTCCTTTTTGTGAGTAAAGTTCCTCATAATGTTCAACAACTTTGGTCGCATATAAATATAACTATTCAACTCCACTGCCCTCTGCATTGTTCTTGAGATGGACGGTATTTTCCCAATGTCTTCCAACATCAAGTCCAAGCAATGAGCAGCACATGGGGTCCAATACAAATGTGGGTGTTCTTTCTCTAACATCCTCCCTATTTGAAACCAAATGGAAAAAAGAAAAAATGATATAAAGAGAATGAGTAAATCAAAATTGATTTAAATTATCTACTTGTAAAGAATGTAAACTCTAAAAGTTATAAACATTGAACATTCTTACCGGCATACTTATTGCTTGACTCACTATCTGTGACGACTTGGACGACATTTGCTACTCCAATGCGGTTCACAAATTTATTAAGTAAGTCAAACATCTTGTCACCATCCTTTGAAAAAGAAGAAGTATCTATCGACTCAATAAACATGGTTCCCCTTGGACTATTTACTAGGAAATTAAGCAATATTCTCCCTCTCTTGTCTGTCCACCCATCTGCCATTAATGAGCATCCAAATTTTGACCACTCCTCCCTATGGTCATTCATCAAAGCATTGGTATTATCCAATTCCTTCCTAAGCAAAGGAACTCTCACCTCATGATAACTAGGTGGTTTCATGCCAGGACTATATTGTCCAATTGCTTCAACAACCTCGGCAAAGCTATCATACTTAACAGCATTGAATGCAATTCCTGCATCATACATCCACCTTGCAAAAGCAGCACACGCTCTTCCTCTCAACTCTTTCTTGCATGCATCATTAATGGCTGTTTGTTTTCCCCCCTCCTTTCTTTTTTGTACCAAAATTTCCAGTCTGGGAGTGAAATATAAATCAATCGGTCCCTTTTGCTTTTGCATCTTTGAGGAATTGACACTAGCACTGCCTGCACTAGCTACCCTTTTTCCCCGATTGCTAACTTCCATGACATCATCCTCATCCTCTCCATCAATGAAATTAATCTCATCACTAGGTAACAAATTCATTTGTTCTTTTTCTTCCTTTTTCTTACTCATGTACTCTTTGATTTCTTCTCTAACACTAGATGGGCATCTTGTGCATGCACTCACATTTCTATATCCTCCAGCTAAGTGTTGCTTAGCCCAATAAATACCTCCTTTTGTAACTTTTGCACAGAAGTTACAAGTGACGGCATTTGTATCTTTCGGATTCTCCAAATGTGAGTAATTCCATGCCGGATCCTTTCTTGAACCTTCACTAGGCATCTTTTAAAGTTCAAACTACAATCAAGTTCAATAGAAATTATGTAAGTTGCAAATCAATCTAATTTTCTATAACTATAAGCACCATGATTCATTCTATAACTATAACAACTAAACATACTTTCAATAATAGAACCTAATTATATTATATGAAAATAATATAACAGTAAACAGTTGCTATTTACAATTTGCGATTGTCTTTTAAAGTTGATGTTAATAAATTTGACTTCAATTTGGTGTGTGTTGTTAACTGGACAACTTCTTCTCTCTATCAGTCTATCTCTCTGTATTTGGTATTTTGGTGTTATGTAAATTCTGTATATATTAGAAGCTTTGTATTCCTCTGCAAATTTTACAAGAAAATCAATTAAATACCTTCTGATTTCAATAATTTTTTTTTTTTTGGGTAACCAAGAAAAAGAATTACATTCTATCTGTCACATACAGGCTACAACAATCCAAAAAAAAAATAAAAAATAAAATAGCAAGTTTAGCAACTGTTATTTTAAGATTAAAATAGCAACATAATAAATTTGTCACAGTCCAGAGTCTCCACTCTCCTCTCCCCGGCCTCTTCATCAATTCCATCCATATATAACAATTTCTTTTCATAAAAAAAAAAAAATAAAATAAAAAAAACATGTGATCTTAATTGGTCATCAATTCCTAAATAAAAGAAAACTTAATATATGAATTAATCTATAAAAATGAGGAGAGCATCAAAAAGTAAAAAGTTTCTTTGAACAGAGTCCAGACTCAAGAAAAAAAATAAAATAAAAAAATAGAGAAAAAAAAGAAGAATAATAATTAAAAAAAAACTGCCAAACTCGACTCGATAGTCGGCCGAGAGAAGAAAAGAAGAAGAAAAAAAAAAAAAAAAACTGAGACAGATCACAGATCCGAGAAGAGGAGAGAAGAAGAAGAGAAGGAAGAGGAGAGAAGGAGAAGAGAAGAAGAAGAGAGAGAAGGAGAAGTTGGAGAACGTACCGGCAGAGTCGCCGACGGCGTAGATCCGGCAGATCCGACACAGATGACAGATCCGAGAGGAGTGAGGACCGAGACCGAGAGTAACTGTTGTCCAAGTCGTCGCCTCTGTGACCTCTGTCTCCGACTCTTCTTTGTTTTGGTGTTTGTTCTCCATTTTTTTTTTGTTTTTTTAATGTGGTAACAATGTAACTTAACAAAAGTAATATAATAGAAACAATAAAATAATATAACAAATCAATAAAGTCAATAAACAAACAAAAGTTACAAAAGAAAACAGTTAAAATATTACAAATTCCATCAGGCGCGCCTTTAGATCGCCTTTAGCCTTGCGCCTGTAGAGAAAAGGCGCTCGCCTTCTGCAACCCATGCGCCTTAAGGTTCTAGAGGCGCTGAGATGGCGCCTGGAGGAGCCTTGCGCCTCAGGCGCGCGCCTTCGGCGCCTTTGACAACTGTGATAGTGAAGTTGGATGCTTCCAACTATTTAATTTGGGTACAGTCTGCCAAAATGTTTGTTGGTGGCAAAGGTAAGATTGGCTATATTACTGGTTCGGAGAAAGAACCAGCTGAGTCAGAGAAGGCATATCCACAGTGGTTTGCAGATAACGCTATGGTTATGTCTTGGCTAGTCAATTCGATGCAACCAAGCATAGCTGTTGGCTATATGTTTATGAAGACTGCTAAGCAGATTTGGGATTCAGTTCAACGCACTTATTCTCAGAGGCAGAATAATGCACGAATTTTCCAGCTGGGGCGAGATATCACCAGGATTTCTCAGGGTGACTTGACAGTTTCAGGTTACATCGCGAAGCTTCGTGCTATTTGGGAGGAGATGTCGTATTATGATTCCTTCCACTCTTGGAAGGATCCAGATGATGCAGTTTTATATGTAGGAATTGTGGAGAAGAATCGAGTGTTTCAGTTTCTTGCCAGGTTGAACGTTTGAGTATGCTCGAGTTCATTTATTGGGCTTATCTTCATTCCCTACTCTTGAGGATGCATACTCCTATGTGTTGTCAGATGAGAGCCGCCGGACTCATCCATTAGGTGTTGCTTCTGTTGATCGTTTTGCTATGGCAGTTCGGGTTCCCAACCTTTCTGGAACTTCACCATCCTAGTCAGTTCAGAGCACTACCACCGGTCCTCCTCTGGGACGACAATGTGGATGGTGTGACCATTGCAGAAAAATTGGTCACATCAAATCTCGTTGTTATGCTCTACATGGACGTCCACCGCAACAGAAACAACAGCCTCGATCCTCTGCACATTCTGTTACACAACCAGTCTCGTTGTCAACTCCTGACAACCCTGCCTCTACATCTTCTGCCACAGTTACCTTGACTTAAGCTGATTTGGACAAGTTTAAGCAATTCTTCAACCAAATGGAGGCATCATCTCAGCCAACCTTCACTTATGCCCACTCAGGTACTATTGCATCTGTACATAGTGTATCTACATCTTCAACACCATGGATCATTGATTCTGGTGCTTCAGACAATATGACTGGTATGTCCTCACTCTTCTAATCTTATAGTATCTGCTCTGGCCAACGCAAGGTCCGTCTTGCGGATGGCTCTCCATCTTCCATTGCTGGAAAGGATCACATATTAGTTACTCCTTCATTAACTTTGTCAAATACACTTCATGTTCCCAAGTTGACTACAAATCTTATTTCTGTTAGTAGCGTTACCAAACAATTAACTTGTAGTGTAACGTTCTTTCCCTCTCATTGTATTTTTCAGGATCTGTTGTTGAAATGGACGATTGGCAATGGGCGTTAAGTGGACGGTCTATACCTGTTGGATGCTCCTTTGTCACCTCAAGCACATTCAGCTTCATTTTCTAATATTGTTTCATCTAATAAAGCCCAGCTTATTAGTTGGCACATGCGTTTAGGACATATTTCTTTTGGTTATTTGAAACATTTATTTCGTTCCTTATTTTGTAACGTGGCAGTGTCAGATTTATCTTGTGAAACATGTCATATGGCTAAACATGTTCATTCCAATTATCCTGCTAGTAGTAATAAATCTGCTTTAACACGTTTTGATCTTGTTCATTCAGATGTCTGGGGTCCTTGCCCAGTTACTTCTAGTCTTGGATTTCGATTTTTCGTGTTGTTCATTGATGATCATAGTTGTGTTACTTGGGTTTATCTTATGAAAACCAAAAATGAGGTATACACCATTTTAAAAAATTTTATGACAATGGTTCAGACTCAATATGGTCGTACCATTAAAAAATTCCGATCTGACCAGGGTACAGAGTACACTTATAGGGAGGTACAACGGTTATGTACAGAATTTGGGATTGAGTATCAAATGGCTAATGTTAAAACTCCTCAACAGAATGGTCTTTCTGAGAGAAAGAATCGCCACATCCTTGACTTAGCCAGAGCAATCTGCATTGGCATGAATGTTCCCCAGTCATTTTGGGGAGATGCAGTTCTTACCGCTGTTTACATCATTAATAGGACTCCTTCTAGGATTCTTAACTTTGCAGCCCCACTCTCAATCTTACATCCCAATTCATCTCTTTTTTTGATTCCTCCGCGAGTCTTCGGGTGTGTGTGCTTTGTTCAGCAGTTGGGGCAGACTAGTACAAAGCTTGACCCCAAGGCTTTGAAGTGTGTGTTTTTGGGCTATTCTCACTCTCAAAAAGGTTATAGGTGTTACCATCCTCCCAGTCATCGGCGGTTTATATCCATGGATGTTTCTTTCTTTGAGCATACACCATACTATAGTGGTTCAGTTGGTTCTTAGAGTGAATGGTTCCCATTGAATATAATGGATGATCACCTTCTTCCGTCTTCAACTCCTCTACCATTACCTGTTTCTTCTTCTATGATTCCTCCTCGTGATACCCCTCTAGTAGGGGGAATTGTTCCTTTTTCACAGGTTTGTAGTCGGAGACAATTGGTACAAGCTTCTACTCCCACGATCGACTGTCGTGTTCCTTCGGCACCAGCTCCGCCTTCTCAAGCTATTGTTTCGCTTGATGATCGTCCCATTGCTCTTCGAAAGGGTAAACGTTCTTGTACTTAACCTATTTCTAATTTTGTTTCTGATTATGCTCTCTCACACTCCTATCGGAGTTTTCTTACTTCTGTTGCCTCGGTTCCTATTCCTTCTAGTGTTGCAGATGCACTAGCACAAGTCACAACCTCAATGGCGTGATGTTGTGACAGAAGAACTACAAGCACTTGAGAAAAATCAGACTTGGGACATGGTTCCGCTTCGTATTGGACGAAAGGCTGTGGGTTGTCGTTGGGTGTTTACAGTTAAGCATAATTCAGATGGGTCAGTTGCTCGTTACAAGGCCCGATTGGTTGCCAAGGGTTATGCTCAGATTTATGGCATAGATTATCAGGAGACTTTTGCCCTTGTTGCCAAGATAAATACCATCCGTGTATTATTTTCCGTTGCTGCAATTCGATCTTGGCCTCTATTTCAGTTAGATGTCAAGAATGCCTTTCTCAATGGTGATTTGCAAGAGGAGGTGTACATGGTTCCTCCTCTGGGCTTTCGTTCTCTTGCTCATTCTGGTATGGTGTGTCGTCTTCGACGTTCTCTGTATGGCCTCAAGCAGTCTCCTCGAGCTTGGTCTGATCGCTTTGGCATTGCTATGCTCAAGTTTGGTTTCCATCAAAGTGCAGCTGATCATACCTTGTTTTTACGTCATTCAGGTGGTAAGACAGTGGCTCTTATTGTGTATGTCGATGATATTGTTTTTTCCGGCGATGATACTACCGGAATTGATGAGGTTAAGAGCTATCTTAGCCGTCAGTTTGAGGTTAAGGATCTTGGTCCCCTATGGTACTTCTTGGGCATTAAGGTGGCTCGCTCCAAGACTGGCATTTTCATCTCTCAATGCAAGTATGTTCTTGACTTGCTTTCTGCTTCTGGTTAGCTTGGCGCTCGTCCTGCTGATACTCCGATTGAGCAGAATCATCGGTTGGCTGATTCTGAGGGGCAGGAGTTGTCAGATATTGGTCAGTATCAACGACTTGTGGGGAAACTCATCTATTTATCCATGACTCGACCTGACATTGCTTATGCCGTGGGTGTTGTGAGTCAATTCATGCACTCTCCTCGTGCCCCTCACCTTGATGCAGCTATTCGGATCCTTCGCTACTTAAACGGGTGTCCAGGCCGTGGTATTTTGTTTGCCAATCATGGTCACTTACGTGTTGAGGCTTGGACAGATGCTGATTATGCAGGATCAATTTCAGACAGGAGGTCTACTTCAGGTTATTGTACCACTATTGGTGGGAACTTGGTTACTTGGCGCAGTAAGAAGCAGGATGTTGTCTCTCGATCTAGTGCAGAGGCAGAGTATAGGGGCTATGGCTCTTAGGGTAGGTGAGCTGCTTTGGCTGAAAACCTTGATGACAGACTTTTGCCTTCCAGTGTCGTTTCCATTCTCACTTTACTGCGACAACAAGTTTGCCATTAGCATAGCAGCAAATCCCGTTCAGCATGATAGGATTAAGCATATAAAGGTGGACCGTCACTTCATTCAAGGGAAGATCATCTCTGGTCAAATTTGCACTCCATTTGTCACAAGCTCTCAGTAGCTTGCAGACATTCTTACAAAGGGCGTCAGCAAGATTGTGTTTGAGAATGCATTGTCCAAGTTGGGCGCTTCTTATATCCACGCACCAACTTGAGGGGGAGTGTTAGCATATATGATTCCACGATTTACGGTATGACTTACCATAATAGCAGAGATTTGACTATGCATATGTTAGCATATATGATACCATGATTTATGGTATGACTTACCATAATAGTAGGGATTTGACTATGCTATAGAATATGCCATAGAATATGCTTTAGAATAAGTTGTGATTTGATTTTGATTTGATTTAGTTTTCTTTCTTGTAATATGAGCATGTGCTCATTTTATCTATAAATACTAGAGTTGTGAATGAGTAATTCATATCATTCAAGCCTTTACGCAATTCTCTCCTTTCTCTTCTTTTTATATATTTCTACTATATGCTAACACATACATTCTTACAAAGGGCGTCAGCAAGATTGTGTTTGAGAATGCATTGTCCAAGTTTGGGCGTTTCAGATATCCACGCACCAACTTGAGGCAAGATTGTGTTTGAGAATGCATTGTCCAAGTTGGGCGTTTCAGATATCCACGCACCAACTTGAGGGGGAGTGTTAGCATATATGATACCACGATTTATGGAATGACTTACCATAATAGCAGAGATTTGACTATGCTATAGAATATGCTTTAGAATAGGTTGTGATTTGATTTAGATTTGATTTAATTTCCTTTCTTGTAATGTGAGCATGTGCTCTTTTTATCTTTAAATACTAGAGCTGTGAATTAGTAATTCATCTCATTTAAGCCTTTACACAATTCTCTCCTTTCTATTCTTTTTATATTTCTACTGTAATGGATGCACTATTGCTTGTTGCTTTACCAGAACAGGTGTAGCCTATTAGTGAAGATTTGAGAGATGTTAATGAGAATTTCCCATTTAGGAAGGAAAAAAATGCCACCTACAAGAGATATGTAGCACCATGTTGACCCAGTACCCAGAGCAAGTTTGTCTTGTAAATCCATACAATTTCAGGAGTTCAGAAGGGCATGAATAGCTAAGTAGGCAGATTACTAAGTTACTAAATACTGGTCACATAACAATAGAGAACAGTCCCGTGCTTTTTAATTATGCTAGCAATGAAGAAGGATGGGATTTAGCACGTGTAGTGGAAATAAAGCTATTAATGAAATGACTGCCGTGACGAGTAAAAATGGCATTCAATAAATGAGAAAGGTTATACAGGAAATGAGGAATAGTTGGCAAATTGATGGGTCAAACATATGGAAATCATCCAAGTGAAGAATACTCGTCACGGCTAATTATCTTAGTTTAATTCTTCACTTAGATGATTTCCTTATGTTTGACCCTTCAATTGATTTACAAAAGGAGAAGCTGGTAAGAGAAAAATGTCGTTTGCATGACCCTTACGTGGTTGTTTCGTTTCATCCTATTTGTTCAGTTATTTGCACTACCATTCAGAATTCTCTCTCATTGTAGTAACTGCCATTAGTCAGACCGAAAGCATGAAAGCAGGTTTTTTTTCTTGCTGTAGATTTAGAATTATAAGAAGCCTAAGTTAGCCTCTTTATGCATTGTGCTGTAGCATGCTAGTATGTGACACTTAATTTGTACATAAATTTTTATTCTCTCTGTTCTAATTTTTTTTTTTAACAAAAAGTTTTTCTGCTTATCAGACAGTTCTTCATTAATTCATTTGTGTTAATCATGAGTTTTTCAGATAAAGTCATACTATGGCATTTCCAGGAATCTTCTAATTAAGTTCAAAGATGATACAATTGATGAAACTTCAGCACTAGCACAGATTCTCACCTCAGATTCTGCTATTAGCACAATGCTGGATATGTCAATTCGTTTGTTGCCTGGGGATCATGGGCTTCCTTTGCAACAGGTTGTAATTTGTACCACAAATTTAGTTAGGGGAACCTCCATTACTCTGATACAATTTCATTTTTGTTTTTATATATATATATATATCTGTGTCTGAATGTGTGTATATCGTTGCTTGATACATGGATGCAATCTTAGTTTCCTCAAAGCTGCATACAAGAAACACGAAATTTGATACACATTTCCATTTTGCAGGTTCTCCCAGATGTTCCACCTGCAATGGCAGATGCAGTAAACCGGGGAGGGGAGCTTCTGGCAAATTTGACTGTAGGGACACCATGGGAGACGGTTGCCAGAGAAGTAGGCAACACGTTAGGTGTAGAATCGAGGGCTTTTCGTGCAGAAAGTTCAAAGGATCTAGACTTGCTTGTAGATGTGATCACATCATGGATGGCTTCTAACACAGGTCCAAAACTTTTGAGGCCATGATAAGTAGGAGAAAGCCAAGTTCTTGAGCGAACTGAGACAAGACTGGGTTGATAGACAAGGCACTGAAGACTTTTCTGTGGAAATATGATTAATACTCATGGTTTACCATATAAATACATGTATATAATTCTCGAGTGTGTTCAACATAAGCCTGATCCGATGTCTGTTTACATGTATACCTCTCTTGATGTTATTAAAACTTGCTAGCTTGTACATGAATTAGAAACATTTATGATCTACTAAAAATGAGAACGAAATCATTATATTTTTGTTTGGTTGAGGTATTACATTTTTTAAATAGAATTTGAGCCTTGTAATAATCTCGAAAGACTATTCTTTGGTAGAATAGTGAAAGTATAACTGAATTTTAAGAGAAGTCACTACTTTATATAAAAGTTGTCAAAAATATATTCTCAATTTTACCAAACCAATATTAAGTAAAGGCATCAGAGGTATTTACTCTCCTGAAAGGTAGAGGTAGAGCTAGAGGGTTTGAGTCTACCTAACTGGAGAGTTAATTGTCATGACCAAAAAAAGGGCTTCCTAGGAAATTATCCATTTTTGTTTTTCACATTGATTATGTGATTGTTTCTGTTGATTTACCGTTTGATTTGAACTTTCTTGTTGCCTGTGTAGCACGTTTGTTTACAGAAACCTAGGTGAAAATTGTTGCACCAGCCTTGGGAAATAGTGATCCAAAAATAGTGCTCTTGGTTAGATGAAAATTAATAGTAAAGAAAATAAAGTGAAGGAAAGGAAAATAATTTTTTTTTTTAATATTCATTTGGTTAGTATGAAAGATTTTCTAAGAAAGTTGTTGGAGTACCATTTTATAGTTGGATATCATAAAAGTTATCAGAAAATATTTGATTTATTTATATTGTCCATATTGTTATTAAATAGGACCACAGCTTTGGTCTTCTTTCAAAATAAAAGCAAATTTTAATTAAAAAAAAAAAAAAATTGCACAAGAGATACAGACTATTATACTATTCTTGTCAAAAGTTATGGCAAATTGTTTGTGTTTTTTTTTTTTTTTTTTTTTTTTTAGGAAAAAGATTTTGAAAAAATTAGATGGTTATGGTACCGTTACGTAGAGTGACAATAAGGGTGACTTATACGTTAACTTTTTTTACTCACTCCAAAACAACCCAATTCTACCTTACGTAAAGTTGTTAAAGTACGATTAAGAAATCCTGCTGTGGTACTGTCAGCATTAAGTGTTTTCAGATTGTTACTTTCTCGGATGCACATTTGATTCAGGTGTGTGGGCTCAGGATATGTTTTGGAAGTGTTTTCAGATATGTTTCTTTATTTTGTCGGATGCACATTTGATTCGGGTGTGTGGGATCGGAACAAGTTTTGGATTCGGGATTTGTTAGGTGAGAATTGTTGGGAACTTGAATGAGAAGAATGAAAAGGGGGAGTGGCAATTATTAATTTTTCAAGAGTTTGTTGGAGGAAGGAACAAATAGGCCAAAATTGTGGGTTAAGTTTGTAATTAAAGAAAGTTGAAGGATATATAAAGATAGAATGGAGGAAGGAGAGCCCGTCATTCCTTGACTTCTCTTTCTCTATCTATATCTGCAATTATTCACAGTACTTCTTTTTCTTTTCTTTTCTTTTTTTCAATGCAAGAAGTTTCAAATGTTAGATTAGATTCACGGGAGGCACTAATCCACTGGGTGCTCACCTATACACTTTCTTCTCCAACTTCTCTCTAGTATTTAAAGGCTTAGAAGTGGGATTTTAGAGGGACTCAAAAAGAGAGTTATTCTCCTCTATCTCCTCAATGTTTTCACCAGTTCAATGTCACGATTTGAAGTGTTTGCGACTCAAAAGTCATAAGCTAAGATAATATTGTCCCCAATTTTTTTATCTTTAATAAAGGAATTTTGTGCCTTGTCAATGAGAGTAGGTAAGATGGATTTAAATTTGTTAGCGAATAACTTAGAGATGCATTAATATAGAACACTACAACATGATATAGGTATGTAATCATACGGGAAAGTGGGGTTTGGAATCTTGAGAATTAAAGCTAGATAGGTAACATTGATCTATTTTAAAATTCTACCTGTTTGAAAAAACTAAACAGTCTCAATTTTTACTAGACTTGATTTAATTCGTTTGCAAAACATCTGTTTAGTGCCTTGTAAAAGATTAGCATAAACTGACATAATTAACTTGAATAGTACGATTCTTGTGTGAGAATTTAGTAATAACATTGTTGTATTTTAGTTGCTTTAACTCTTTATTCCTGTGTGAAATACTTAAGAAGTATTTAATTATAGTAACAGAATGGTTTCCTAAGGAGCACACTTCATAAATAAGCAAAAATAATTTCTGTTTGTCTCATTTCCTATTTTCAAAAGAACAATACTTGATGAAGTGGTCCAATCAGAATGACACACATTATGTATAATTATTATCAAAAGAACAATACTTGATGAAGTGGTCCAATCAGAATGGCACACATTACGTATAATTTATTTGAAGGTAAGGAAAGTAATAATTAAAAAATAAGTTTATCATTATTTATTATTATTATTATTATTTTTTGGACAAATTCATGAATCACATCGGCTCACTAATGAATAGATAAGTACCGCCCTTTCCAAAATAGTAAAATACTATTTTGACTGCTTTTCCAATACATGTATTTATAGTAGAGATAAATCCTGCAAATAGAAGGAATCCTAAAACAAGTCCAACAGACCCAAAAAAATACCCAAATATTCAACAGACCAAAAAAGTGATCTGGGCCTAAAACAATCTGGGCCAAACTAGTGTGTCTCAACTATTGGGTTGTTTCCATTAAGAAGGGGTCTTCTGGAGTCCAAATGATTGAACTGAACCAGAAAAAACTGTCCAATGGATCATGACATAACATCAAAATGGATAAGTTAGAACCTTCCCCGTTCATAACCCTCCTTTTCAAGTTACCACCGTATTTTACAACAATTAGAACAAAAGAAGGGTTGGAAAGCAGATTCGCGACCCATTACGAGATTCTTCTCTTGTGCATGTATCAAACCTTCGAGGAAAAAACAAAAAGCATTATTATTCTAACTTTATAAAAATAGATGTAATTTTATTTTTATTAGTGTTCGCGCGGTTTTATGCCGGTCGATGGACTTTTTGCGGGCATGCAAGAGTATTTGTACAAAACACTCGAAAATTGTAAATTCGAACACCAGCCTATCCCTTTTTCCGATAGTTGACTCTCAGGCGATTTTGTAGGAGAGAGACTAATAAGAACTCCTAGCAAGGTTCTTTTTATGCCTTGTTTGTAGCAAGGACTTTTTATCTAAGGTGCTTAAAAGAAATAAAATGCGATTTAAAGTAAATGAAAATGAACTGGCTGAATTGAAATAGACTTTAAAATAAATTGGCTGAATTGAAATGAACTGAAAAGTAATGTTTGCAATAGAATGAACAGGCCGAATTAAAATGTCATAAATCTGATTAAAGATTTGTCATTGAATCCGTTGCATAAAACAAAGATTAAATTTGTAAATACCATAATTAAGCATTGTAAAAGAAGAATAAGTTACTGGAACTTAATTTCTTCGAATGAAATTTGCCATTTGGACAAATAAATTGAAGATAAAGATGACGTTGAGTCATTTGATGAATTTTTGATTCATGCTGATTTGTGGTTGGTGCTGGACAAATTAGAATAGGATTACAATAATTCTATTTATAGAAGTTCTTAATCAACTAATCTAACTTCATTTCTTGCTAAAATATCTCTCTGCCTTGATTCTTTCTTTTTGTAATTTGAACTGAGTCAAATCCTATTATTATTCGGTTTTTCTTATCTTCTTGCTTCAATAGGAAATCCTTGCTGAAACCAACTTCCTTGATTTAGTCACATGTAAGTTGCCGAGTCATTGCTGAAAAGTTGCTAGAAAGTTGCTAATTTTTAGCAACTTCTTTCCTTGTACTTGGCCACTGTATCTTCCCTTAAATGGCCTAATAGCCATTTGTAACTTTTGATTTTATCTATAACACATGCGACTGCTCCTTCTTTTTCTTTAGAATTCCTTCTCCAATTAAATCCCTACTTCATAGGGATTTCTTTATAGCCGAATTTCTAGTATTCCCTTTTTTAGTCAACAACCGAATTTGAATTAATTCAAATTCTTGTTACAATATATATATATTTTCAGCAACAAACTTATTAATAAAGTGGCTGAAATATATTTCCTAGATTTTCTCCTTTTATCTCGTTGCTGGCCGACTCTTCTTGAAACCATGCTGAACACTTGTTGGCTCCTCACTGGTCCACGTCACCGCTGAGGTGGCTGCCAAGTTTTGGTGCCAACAAATGCCCCCTGAATTTCAAATGCCTTTATCGCTTATGATAGGCATTTGGAATTTGAATTGGCCACAAACTTGAATTTCAAAATTTGGTAATAACTCTTTTAATTACCCAACTACCTGCCTTAATGGTTATCGATTCCCGATTAAAGTGGTGATTGGGCATATCTATCTCAACACTAGTATTTAGCTCTGTGTTCTCTAAAACCCTAAAATCATTCTCGTTGCCTTAAATTGCAAACTCTGAAATTCCCTTTCTCAACCCAAATTCCTCCCTTTGACGATCTTTCATGGCTCCTAAGAAAACCAAGTCAACTGATTCTACTTTAGCCTCACAACCTTCAGATTCTTCGACTCATAGTAGTGCCATCGAGAAATCCCTAAAAACTCTTTCTTCTTACAAGTATTGCCTTAATACTGTAATGACCCGGTCATTTTCCTTCCTTTCTTTTCTCACAGATTTTCACGGATATATATATTTTTTTCGTTGTTCTTTTCCTTTCTGAGCTCAATTTCTTGTCAGTTAGTGTCATCTTGAGTGCTCAAAAGTAGTTTCTGAGACTCTTTTCCTTGGATTGACAACTTACTTTGAGGACCGTGTCATTTCCATATTTTCATTTTTCGGACACTATTCATTTTTTCGTCATTTTCCCTATTTCGTCTTTTCCCCGTTTGTCACTTTGTTCGCGTAACCACACTTCTTGTGTTCGGAGTTTGTTTTTGACTTCACTTATCTTCATTCTAAGTAGTTTCCACGAAATTTGTATCTTTACTTTTGCAGTAAAGTACTCTGGTTGCTCCCAGTATCCATAGGGGCATGGATGCACAATTCTTCAGAATCTTTTTCTTTTCTTGGGGTGTTTTTCATAAATATCTTTTGAAGATATTTTATTTCAGGGGTATCTAAAACAATATCTTTTGGTAGATATTTTCATTCTGGGGCAGTTTCG